ATAACATTATCTGCCATTCGAATAACATTAACATTTTTTAAATTAAATTCGAAATGAATTCTTCAGTATTTATACTTTTCATTATTTGCTTTAGTTGTTTAGTTCTAAGCGCATGCAATTTACATATTTAAATTACCGTTTTAACCATTTGACGAAACGTTTTAAGTATTTTTATAGCTGGGACGACAATTTTTTTAATTCCTTCATTAACCACGCGTAGAATATATGGCGTTATATAACAGAATAGACCGAATTAGGCCGTAATGGCATCTTCTTCTCGCATTAACTACGCTTTGTCGCCCAGTGTGCTTTCAAGGAACCTTTTTGGTGGGAAATGAGGACGTCTTCCGGACGGTCGCACCGTCGTGTTTACGCGATCGAAGACGACTTAATAATCCGATTGTACACGACATTTTAACTCCCCCCGTCTGTCGTACATTACAAAGTTTGTCCGGTAAAAATAAAAAGACAACGCACTTAATTCTTACTAATCCCTATTGCAGTGGAGAGAAATACGTCTTTAATAACTCCCCGCGCACCCTGTTAGTAACTAAGTCGGATATCTTTAATCCCATTTTTGTTGGAGAATGCTGGAAAATGATTTTTTTTTGGTTTCTCGTTCGACACCGTTTTAAGCACTCTGTAAGAAAATTCGGAGATATCTCGAAGTCTCTTAAGCCGAACGAGTTGAACGGCACGACACTTCCGAGTCTTGGTCCTTTTTTGTTTTAAACCGAAAACTTTTCGTATAATTTTCGTAAAAGGAAATATTCGTTTCGCGTATCAACCGAAGGAAGTGACGTTTGCGGCATCTTCGGTGGCGGCGCGTTAATCCGCACCTTCGACTTTATTTGGAAGTGTGCCAAGCCGAGATAAGGTGCCGAAAAAAGAACCGCTAATTGTCGAACGACCACTCGACATCACTCTTTTTGCTCTCGTTTCTGGTTCTCCTTTTTCGCCTGGATTAAAAAAAAAAAAAAAAAAAATGGCGGAGTTCTGCGAGAAGATCCTCCGAAGCCCCCGCTCTTTGCCAGATTTAATTGTCCGAAAACGGCGGCCTTCGTGACCTTCCTTCCGGGAAGTCTCGATCTGGGAGCAAACGTGCGTCCGGTGGTATTCGTCTGGCGGATTCCCACGCAGTCGTTTACGTGTTTACCGGGCTAAGTCTGTCGGCGAGTCTATCGGCCACTTCCTACCGACAGAACGGTTTACGTCATCGATCTTCGTCCCGTGGCACGCGGGTCGGTGGCCGGGGGACGGATGCAGTAGCAGAATGACGTGCGAGTGATGGACGAGTGGCAGGGACGCAGATGGCCCTTTTCTCCGTCTCCCCGGGGTGGACGGCGCGGCACCGATCGCTCGATGACGGCACGACGACCGGTTTGAGTGGTCCCTCTGCGACTTGTTCCTTTTTTACCTGCGGCTGACGAGACGAGACGACATCGATGGCAGTCGACCGCCTTCGACCCGTGAAACGCTCCTCCTTTCGAATACACACAAATATTTAAGACCGGAGAGAATTTCTTTGAGGATTTACAGCGAGAAGATGGTAAATATCAACAGTTTAAACGTATGAACGAATCCCATAATGGTAAATTATTAATTACGTGTAAGTTCTGTAAATTGGAGACGGATTGCAGTATATTTTGGAACCTTGTAAGATATATGTAACCTGTAAAATAATTAAAGTGAAGGATTTTGTTACTAATTAATCTGGACAATAAATAGAAATAAATTTTTCTGCAGGAAGAAATGTCAAAACAGTATCGTCGATAGAATCACTAAGTATTTTGCTTTGATTAATAGATTTTTCCGATTGAATTGAAAACTGTTTGTATCATTAAAAACTAACTTCGATCGTAGCATTTAATGATTGTCTTCACGGTAACTTATTGGTAAAAATATTTTCTAGACAGATAAATATACAATCAAGTTGTACTGTATTTTTGGTAAACTGTGGTTGGCTTCTTCGTCTATAGAATCTAAAGAAATTTAGCGTACGAAATGCATTGTCCGAATCATCGATATAACATTGGTGAACCAATAGGGGACGTGGTCGTAATGAGAGCGGTTACGTAAACCGTAAGGCAAATCGTTCAGTCGGAAAATGGCGGAAAAACACTGGGTCGAAAGACTTCTGGAGCTTAGCGAGTAGGGATTTGATCTTTCGAGAAAAGATGCTTCTAAGCTGCATCCGGCTGTTTGCCAAACCCCAAAAAAATTGATCATCCTTTCCGCGAACCGTCGGAACGAACCGTTAAGGATTTGTTTTTCCGCTCGTTCGACTATCGAAATGTCGTTTCTTCTAGATTTTTACGCAATCCTTTGGGGTTGTTTTCCAGTGAAAAACACTATTATATAACCGCGTCACTTTAAATTGCTATCGGCTCCCTTTCCTCCCATAGGTGAGGGATTTTACACTGAAATTAAAGTTATATTATTTTAAAAATGTTTATTTAGTCAATATATAGGCTATAACGTTGTTTATTTTTCCAAAAAAAAATTATATTATAATACTAATTTAAATAATTCCTGTTTAGTCGACCGGGTAAGTAAATATTTTAAATAATTTAAATGATTCTAAGATGAGAATTTTGTTTACATTTTTAAAAAGAGTAACTTTAAAATCTCTCAAAGTTATTATTAATTCTAAGTGTAGAGTCTGTATTTTATTCTACAGCAGAATATAATCTTTAATTAATAGTTTCTCTTTTCGTATATTTATTAAATTAAAAAAAAAAAAAACAGTTCTATTTCAGTTTAAGAACTATTTTTGATGATTAATTTCGATGTTTACCAGTAAAAATTCTGTTTTCCATAAAAATTTAATATCGAAGGACTTAGAATTCAATGTAAAAATTGAATTCTCTCTCTCTTCAATTAATTGGCTATCATTTTTCTTCTAAGCTTATGCATAAAATAATATATATATATATAAGTTATTATTATTATTTTTATCATGAAACTCTCCGTTAATTATTGCTTCCTTCTATGAAAGTTTATATTAGACAACACCACACGTTATAAGTAATATTCCATAGTTTTTACCCTATTTTTGCTTAATATATTTACAAAATACATTTTTAATTTCTATATTTACAGACCCGTAATATATAAAATATGAAAATACGTATAGTTGTATTTTTATTCTATTAAGCAAGAGAAATATATAAGTTTATACGTTATTATTTCATGCGTAAATACAATTAAATCAATTGGATTCTTTTTGTTGAATTTTATGTTAAATTTTCAGCGCTTAGAAGAGAGTTATCTGGTCGAAGAATTTAATATTGTAATATATAAAGCGAGGGAGTTGAATTGATTATCCGCGATACTAAATCGATTAGGATGCCCTTTTGGTTTTAATTTTGTAAATTGTACCAAGAATCTTAATTAAATATTAACAATATGAAGTCGGTCCGGTCTAAGACGGGAACTAATGAAATTTCCATGCACCGAATAATTTCTAGTTTTCCGTTAAATTGTACTCGGATAATCCTTTCCCTTCATTATGCAAATTATAATTCCAGATAGAGAATATTCTATATATTATATTAATCCTCCTAATTATACCAGTTTATTCTATCTACATTTTTATTTTTATATTGTTAAACACTCCGTTTAATTTTTTTTTTTGAATGCTATTCTTGTTGATTACTGTACTTAGGAAAATAAATTCTTAACAAAAGGCGCAACTAATTGCTCGAAAACAATTTAATTGCTTCGGAAAATGGTTTATCTTGACATTCGAATTCTTTGCTTAATTAGAAAAATTTCCAACGTTAAATTAAATGATATATATATTCAAATGTAATTCAATATGTAGAACTACTAGAAAGTATATTATTGAAATGTGAGTTTAAGTATTTATTCAATACATATGAAAACTAATTAGTGATAAAAACTACATATTTAGTAGTGACCAGCACTAAGTAATATGCCTAGATCATTGCTTAATATATGTCAACCCCCCTATAACACTGTTGATTATTCCGTTTTATACGAATTCCATGTTGTACGAGTTATTTCAATTTTACAAATACATGTGCCAAGATAGTCGACCCCCCTATAACACTGTTGATTATTCCGTTTTATACGAATTCCATGTTGTACGAGTCATTTCAATTTTACAAATACACGAGCTGTTTACATCTTGGCATACATTTGTAAAATCTAAGTGACTCGTACAACATGGAATTCATATAAAACGGAATAATCAACAGTGTTATAGGGGGTCGACTATCTTGGCACATGTACTGTATTTGTAAAATTGAAATGACTCGTACAACATGGAATTCGTATAAAACGGAATAATTAACAGTGTTATAGGGGGTCGATTGTATTTTATTACTCTCGAATTTAACTGATAGTTTGCTCGTTTGAAATTAATTTGAAAATAGAAAATCCGAGACGAATGAATAAACTTAACTATATTAATTGTGTTTATATTATTAATTAGTAACGATCTTCGGTTATAAATTATTTTCGTAAATTCATAATAAATTGTATTTATTTCAAATTAAATTCATTTTATGAATATAAATTTATAATAAATATCTATTTTAATATTGTAAATAAAAAAAAAGACGGCGATAATTCGGATAATAAACGATATTATTTTGCTATTTGTATTTCGTCGATTGAACGAGAAAACTTTCAACAAGTAGATTTGATGAAATACTCCCAAGAATTGAATTAAATAATATATAAGCTGGTTTTTTTTCGACCGTTGGCTTTTCCATCAAAATAGACGACGAGTGTTTTTTTTTCTTTCTATCCTGAAATTTTATTTTATTTTATTAATTTTTTTCCTCTCTCCCATCGATCAGGTAAGTTAGAATATTTGAATAAATCAAAGTTCGAAGAGTTAATTTATATATTTCTGTATTGCTATCCAAATATTGTCGCTTTATTATTTAATATCCGAATTTTTAAATGATACGTGTTTGTCCGTATTATAAAAGTTAATTAACAAGTGGTTTGGTTTTTTGTGTTTTAAGGTCCTCCCGCTAGACCAAATCTCAATCTGAATCTGAACGTTGCGAATTCGCCCAAGAGAGCCAGACAGAATCTAACCTTAAATTTTGGTTGTTTTGCTCTGAGTGTCGTTGGAGAGAAAGTGGATCCAAGTATACCACTGGAGAAACAAGGGTAAGTCAAAATGTCCATTTCGTAAACTAATAAACTCTTAAATCTCGAATATTTTAATCTTACTTTTATAACATTCTGCGAAAATCACGTTTGTATACTATAGGTAAAACCTGTCCAAAACGGAAACTTGCCTAAACAGAAAACAATTCTTCGAAAAGGAGCAATTTTCTAGGATTTAAAAAAAACCCGATCAAAACTGAAACCTGTCAAACCGGACAAAATACAGTCGACCCCTACTATAACACTGTTGATTTTTCCGTTTTATATGAATTCATGTTGTACGAGTCACTTATATTTTACAAATACGTGAGCCGTTCACAGCTCGGCACACGTATTTGCAAAATCTAAGTGACTCGTACAACATGGAATTCATATAAAACGGAAAAATCAACAGTGTTATAGGAGGGGTCGACGGTATCCAGTAATGTGCGATTCCGGTTTATACAGATCTAGACCAGCGGTTTTCAACCTTTTTCACTCGCGTACCACCCGAGCCTTTCTGTGTATATGTTACTGTGAATGACCGATATTTGGCGAATGTCAACATTCACACAGTCGTTTCGTGTATGTACGAAATATTTGCTAAATATCATTATTTCTCACTTACACCGGCAAATGTCGACATTCGGCATGCACTGATGATGAATGTTGAATAAAAGTATGTTTATTACGTTAAGTCAAAAATGCAACTTTTTAATATGTCAAAATAGGAGAAAGCTTAAGTAACAGCGCATGTAAATAAACTGTTGAACCTAAAACGAACAGTACATTCTTAATCAGAAAAGAAAAATAATACACAAAATTACACATACACATAAATTATGTGATTAACGTTATACAATCTTATTTATTGCAATAACTCATTTTGAGTCCCCTGCTTTTACAACTGCATTTATTCGTGGAACACTTCTTTTTGCAATGACAGCGTGTACAGCCTTGCCCTCCACTTTTCGAATTAGCTGTAGCTTCTTCTCTCGGCGATATCTCATCTATGAAAAGTAACTTTTCTTTACAAATTACGAACTGATCTGTTAATGGTGTCTTTTATTCGGATATCGCCGACGCCTTACCGACGACCCCTCTCATCCTCCGCCACTCGACCTGACTAACAAATCCCCACCTCACGGGATCAAGAGAACAAAAACACCATCCAGTGACAAAGTGGGCGATTTCCACCAAACCGTTGCCGGGAAAAGAGGTACGACCTTGTCCTACCTCCGTTTAATCACAAAGGATTTGGCGCAAGACTATCGCCTCTCTGTCGACATCGGCTTTTCGGGTGTCGTTTCGACCTCCACCAAAGCTTATCTGTGCTTGTCGACATACACCGGCGATTGTTCGAATGTATAATAATATAACCAAATATTCGGTCTTTCACCGACGTATTTTGTGTGTGTCGACATTCATCGGAGAATATCGACATTCTCTAATTTCGGTCTTTCACAGTAACCTATACACTTGTAGAACTAACGGAACCTTCTCAACCAGTACACGTACCACTGGTTGAGAACTGAGAACTACTGATCTAGATTTATTGATATTTAAAGAAATTTTTAATATAGGCTACCTCATAATTACGTTGCATTTGTGGTATGCTTCCAACAATTTTATTCGAGAATTATTATTAGATAAGCATTTCCTCAAACCTAAATTAATCCAAGCAAATAAACCAGTAATATCTCTTCGTACAACGACTTTATTTTCTTTAAATTCGAGCTATATATAGGGTCTATAGCCTATACAGAGAAAAGTAACGTAATGTGTCCTTTATATAAAAAATATACCACGAGAAGAGCTTAAATAATTTTCAGGTAAGGGCAGAATTATTACAGATTCGAATGTGATTTTTTAAATAGTTAATTGCTATAATGGATGAATGGGAGAGAGAAACTTAATCGCGACACATTGCATTTGTAGTTGGATATATAAGGGGGTGTGAGAGGGGGTTAGACGTCGACGAAGTGGAAGAGAATGTCGGTGTTGGCTTTGATTGACACGGTTTGCTCTCTAACGACTTTCGGTCTCGCTTTGGTGGCGACTCGATCGGTCGACTTTAGTTTTTCTTCGAATGTCGCCGTTTAGACCGAAACATCGATTTCTGGCGCGTGGCTTCCGATAGTTAACGAGAAGCAACAAAGCGTGAATCCGACGTCGGACGAGCGACCAGCCCATCCGCATTAGAACGTCGGTCCACCGCTAACGCACGTCACGTATCCGTCACGATCGACGGGTCCTTATGGAACGTGTCGTCTCGGATTTTCCGCTCGTTTTCGCTTCGTTCTGGATCGGTCTCGACGTTCGAGACGTTTAACGTGTCCGAACGAGCCGTCTAGAAGATAAGGTCTGTCACTTCTGACGTGACGTCGCCGACGTTTGCTCGTTCTTTGTACCAGTGACAAAGTGTTAGCTTTGGTCTTTCTATTGTTTTCCTGTGTCATTTGTTGCGCACTTAAAGACCGAGGCCTTCGTAGTAATGGAACGAACGTTACGAAGAAAGATATTTGAATGGAAACTCAAATTGTCTCTTGATTACATTAACCGAAATTTGAAAAAAATCGAGCTACGTTGCCTAACTTTGAAGAAAAACAATTGAAAACTGCGAGATGTAGAAATGTCAGCGAGTAGAGACCGAGAGTTTCCTTTAAACTCTTATCTAAACCAAATTTTAATATTAGTCGATTTATTGCAGCAATAAATAATTTTATTAATTACTTGGCGCAAGCATTTAGTAAACTAAACACTGTGTCCGTGGAGAATAATCGAATGCAGGAACAACTTTAACTCGAATGCTTTGTCAAATGAGTGCACCGAGTAATTAATAAAATTAAATTCAGTTATAATATAATAAATAATAATAATACAGATGTGTTTTAGAATTAAAATTTAGATTACAATTTTCTGTGTAATCTAGATATGTAATTTGCCTCTTTCTGTTATATTTTATACAATATTTTTATTTTCAAAACATCTAAATTTCAAGAACGTCCCGAGGCTTCTACTGTTTAAGTTCCCTCGAAGTAGTAATTATTTAAAATGACCCTAGGGATTTTGCCTAAGCGCTTACAAAGCAAAACTTTAAATTTCGTGAAGTTGCAAGATGCTTTAAAATGATTTGAAAAGTTTCGCGGTGGCAAACTAATATCTAATTTTTCAACAGTTTCGTTATTTAAATTACTATTTGTTCATTGAGCTACTTTCAAACAGTATTAGCATCTGTATAGTGTTTAAGTTTACTTGGAGCGAGGGAAAGATTGGGCTTCGTGTAAATGACATAATTTGTATTATATGTGAGGATAATTGAAATAATTATTCTTGTCAGTTAAGCAAAAATGATATTAATTTTGAAAGTTACAAACAGAATTATAAGGCTTAAAGTACAAAAGTTCTTATTTATAATTTTGCTGATGTAAGTTGTAAAGCTAAATGATAATATCGATCAATTTAAAATTTATTATAAAATGCTCTATGGACGTTTCCATGAAAAGTCGACCGAATTTTATCATATTTTCGCAGAGATTTAAAGAGAGATGCGAAATTTAAAAAACTCAATTGTGCCATTTGGACCTTAGAATTGTCTTCGTGAGAAAATATAGACCAGTTGTGTAGGACATGAGGAGAAATATCCTTTAAATAAAAATTATATAGGGCCTATATATATAGATTGCCTGGTCGAGCTGTGCATTTTCGAGTAGATATATGTTGTAGGAAGTTAAAATAGAAATTGAAACTCATTAATAATTTTTATAGTATCTACAATGTGGACAAATGCATATTTTAAAAACTGTTCTAGGGACGAGAAAGAAGTCTAACATTTAGAAACATTAATTTCTTAAATTCATTACGCGTTAATATTAACGTATGATGAGTTCAGAATTATCAGTAGGGGAAGGGAGGGCAGGATGGAAGGTTTAACTTTATGATGTAAAAAAAAACATAAAACAACATAATATAGATCTTTTCTTTTAATCAGACTCGACAGAGATCTTAGATGGTTAAAAAATTGTGTAATTAAAAATAATTAATATTAAGTATAAAATCTGTTAGGAATCATGAAGTAAAAACGTCAAAAATTATCTTGCCATCTTGTCAAAAATTCCATCTTGCCCTCACCCTGAAGGCAAGATGGAATACATAGGATATCACTACATTTTACAATTGATACATGTAAAACATCCATCTTTTGTGTCTGTATATAGTTCATGTGCCCAACCACAACACACTGGACACTGTACCAAGTCCTCTGTGAGCGGTTCCACATATGGTTCTCCACATAATATACAAAACCTTCATCCATCGCCATCTGCAGTTTCTTCAGTCCAAAAACATCTGTTGCTCTTTCTTATATACTTGTTCACCATCTAAAAATAATTACATTCTCAATTAGTTAGATAAATTGAAAACAGAAATCAAAATAATTGCGTGCGGGAAACATGTAAACTAGGNGTATTTTATTCTACAGCAGAATATAATCTTTAATTAATAGTTTCTCTTTTCGTATATTTATTAAATTAAAAAAAAAAAAAACAGTTCTATTTCAGTTTAAGAACTATTTTTGATGATTAATTTCGATGTTTACCAGTAAAAATTCTGTTTTCCATAAAAATTTAATATCGAAGGACTTAGAATTCAATGTAAAAATTGAATTCTCTCTCTCTTCAATTAATTGGCTATCATTTTTCTTCTAAGCTTATGCATAAAATAATATATATATATATAAGTTATTATTATTATTTTTATCGTGAAACTCTCCGTTAATTATTGCTTCCTTCTATGAAAGTTTATATTAGACAACACCACACGTTATAAGTAATATTCCATAGTTTTTACCCTATTTTTGCTTAATATATTTACAAAATACATTTTTAATTTCTATATTTACAGACCCGTAATATATAAAATATGAAAATACGTATAGTTCTATTTTTATTCTATTAAGCAAGAGAAATATATAAGTTTATACGTTATTATTTCATGCGTAAATACAATTAAATCAATTGGAT